GTGGTGGACTACCCAGTGTGGGTGGTGGACTATGTGGCGAGGGTGGACCTGCATGACGATGGGGAAGTTCCAGGGAATGATTTGAGCACAGACTCCCACTGGCTCGTGCCAGTGTGGGTGGTGGACTACCCAGTGTGGAAGGTGGACTATGCTGTGGGTGGACTACGCAGTGGAAGGTGGACCTGCATGACGATGGGGAAGTTCCAGGGAATGATTTGAGCACAGACTCCCACTGGCTCGTGCCAGTGTGGGTGGTGGACTACCCAGTGTGGGTGGTGGACTACCCAGTGTGGGTGGTGGACTACCCAGTGTGGAAGGTGGACTATGTGGCGAGGGTGGACCTGCATGACGATGGGGAAGTTCCAGGGAATGATTTGAGCACAGACTCCCACTGGCTCGTGCCAGTGTGGGTGGTGGACTACCCAGTGTGGGTGGTGGTGGACTACCCAGTGTGGGAGGTGGACTATGCTGTGGGTGGACTACGCAGTGGAAGGTGGACCTGCATGACGATGGGGAAGTTCCAGGGATGATTTGAGCACAGACTCCCACTGGCTCGTGCCAGTGTGGGTGGTGGACTACCCAGTGTGGGTGGTGGACTACCCAGTGTGGGAGGTGGACTATGCTGTGGGTGGACTATGCAGGAGGTGGACTACCCAGTGTGGAAGGTGGACTATGCTGTGGGTGGACTACACAGTGGAAGGTGGACCTGCATGACGATGGGGAGTTCCAGGGAATGATTTGAGCACAGACTCCCACTGGCTCGTGCCAGTGTGGGTGGTGGACTACCCAGTGTGGGTGGTGGTGGACTACCCAGTGTGGGAGGTGGACTATGCTGTGGGTGGACTATGCAGGAGGTGGACTACCCAGTGTGGAAGGTGGACTATGCTGTGGGTGGACTACACAGTGGAAGGTGGACCTGCATGACGATGGGGAAGTTCCAGGGAATGATTTGAGCACAGACTCCCACTGGCTCGTGCCAGGTGAAGGTGACCAAGTCGCCATCCATGGGGATCGTCTGCCCATGGTGCTTGTCAGCCCAGCCGGCAAAGTAGCGGTATGTGCGGATAGCGTAGTCCACGTCACCTGTGGGGGTGGGTGGGGGGGTGAGTGGGGGGGTGAGTGGGGGGGTGAGTGGGAGGGTGGGAGGGGGGGTGGGGTGGGTGGGTGGGTGAGTGGGGGATGGGTGGGGGGGTGAGTGGGGGGGTGAGTGGGGGGGGTGGGAGGGTGAGTGCGTGGGTGGGTGGGTGAGTGGGTGGGTTGGTGGGTGAGTGGGTGAGTGGGTGGGTGGGTGGGTGAGTGAGTGAGTGGGTGAGTGAGTGAGTGAGTGGGTGGGTTGGTGGGTGAGTGAGTGGGTGGGTTGGTGGGTGGGTGGGTGGATGAGTGGGTGAGTGAGTGGGGGGGTGAGTGGGTGAGTGAGTGGGTGGGTGAGTGAGTGGGTGGGTTGGTGGGTGGGTGGGTGGATGAGTGGGTGAGTGAGTGAGTGGGTGGGTGAGTGAGTGGGTGGGTGGGTGGGTGAGTGGGTGGGTGAGTGAGTGGGTGAGTGAGTGGGGGGGGTGAGTTAGTGGGTGAGTGAGTGAGTGGGTGAGTGAGTGAGTGAGTGGGTGAGTGAGTGGGTGAGTGAGTGGGTGAGTGGGGCGTGGGTGGGTGGGGGGTGGGTGAGTGAGTGAGTGAGTGGGTGGGTGAGTGAGTGGGTGGGTGGGTGGGTGAGTGAGTGAGTGGGTGGGTGAGTGAGTGAGTGGGTGGGTGGGTGGGTGAGTGAGTGAGTGAGTGGGTGGGTGAGTGAGTGAGTGAGTGGGTGAGTGGGTGGGTGAGTGAGTGGGTGGGTTGGTGGGTGAGTGGGTGGGTGGGTGGGTGAGTGAGTGAGTGGGTGGGTGAGTGAGTGAGTGAGTGGGTGAGTGGGTGGGTGAGTGAGTGGGTGGGTTGGTGGGTGAGTGGGTGGGTGGGTGGGTGAGTGAGTGAGTGGGTGGGTGGGTGGGTGAGTGGGTGGGTGGGTGGGTGAGTGGGTGGGTGGGTGGGTGAGTGGGTGAGTGAGTGAGTGGGTGGGTGAGTGAGTGAGTGAGTGGGTGAGTGGGTGGGTGAGTGAGTGGGTGGGTTGGTGGGTGAGTAGGTGGGTGAGTGGGTGGGTGGGTGAGTGGGTGAGTGAGTGAGTGGGTGAGTGAGTGAGTGAGCGAGTGAGCGAGTGAGTGAGCGAGCGAGCGAGCGAGCGAGCGAGTGAGTGAGCGAGCGAGTTAGCGAGCGAGTTAGCGAGCGAGTTAGCGAGTGAGTGAGCGAGTGAGCGAGTGAGTGAGCGAGCGAGCGAGCGAGTGAGCGATGGAGCGAGCGAGCGGTGGACTCACCCAGAGCGGAGGAGTATGTCTTGCCGCTGTCCAGCGTGTCCAGGGAGGCCAGCAGAGCCTTGTGGCTCTCCATGAGGTCTCCCAGACGGTGCAGGATGAGGCCACGCTGTGACGGATCCATAGAACGCCACGAGGAGCCCAGGCGGAATGCATCCTGAGCAGCACTGGGGGAGGCAGGGGGGGGAGAGACACGTGGGGAGAGAGATGGAGAGAGAGAGATGGTGTGAGAGAGACGTGGGGAGAGAGATGGTGTGAGAGTAGACGTGGGGAGAGAGAGAGACGTGGGGAGAGAGATGGAGAGAGAGATGGTGTGAGAGTAGACATGGTGAGAGAGACGTGGGGAGAGAGACGGAGAGAGAGAGATGGTGTGAGAGACAGAGAGAGAGATGGTGAGAGAGAGACGTGGGGAGAGAGATGGTGAGAGAGACAGAGAGAGAGATGGTGAGAGAGACGTGGGGAGAGAGATGGAGAGAGATGGTGTGAGAGTAGACGTGGGGAGAGAGAGATGGTGAGAGAGACGTGGGGAGAGAGATGGTGAGAGGGAGATGGTGAGAGAGACAGAGAGAGAGATGGTGAGAGAGAGACGTGGGGAGAGAGATGGTGAGAGAGACAGAGAGAGAGATGGTGAGAGAGAGACGTGGGGAGAGAGACAGAGACATGGTGAGAGTAGATGTGGGGAGAGAGATGGTGAGAGAGATGGTGTGAGAGAGAGACAGAGATGGTGAGAGAGACGTGGGGAGAGAGATGGAGAGAGAGATGGTGTGAGAGTAGACGTGGGGAGAGATGGTGAGAGAGACGTGGGGAGAGAGATGGAGAGAGATGGTGTGAGAGAGACGTGGGGAGAGAGAGATGGGGAGAGAGACGTGGGGAGAGAGATGGTGTGAGAGTAGACGTGGGGAGAGAGATGGTGAGAGGGAGATGGTGAGAGAGATGGAGAGAGAGAGAGATGGTGAGAGAGACGTGGGGAGAGAGATGGAGAGAGATGGTGTGAGAGTAGACGTGGGGAGAGAGATGGTGAGAGGGAGATGGTGTGAGAGAGATGGAGAGAGATGGTGAGAGAGACGTGGGGAGAGAGATGGAGAGAGAGATGGTGTGAGAGAGACGTGGGGAGAGAGATGGTGAGAGGGAGATGGTGAGAGAGACGTGGGGAGAGAGACAGAGACATGGTGAGAGAGACGTGGGGAGAGAGACGGAGAGAGGGAGATGGTGAGAGAGACAGAGAGAGAGAGAGAGACGTGGGGAGAGAGATGGAGAGAGATGGTGTGAGAGTAGACGTGGGGAGAGAGATGGTGAGAGGGAGATGGTGAGAGAGACAGAGAGAGAGATGGTGAGAGAGACGTGGGGAGAGAGATGGTGAGAGGGAGATGGTGAGAGAGACAGAGAGAGAGATGGTGAGAGAGACGTGGGGAGAGAGATGGTGAGAGGGAGATGGTGAGAGAGACAGAGAGAGAGATGGTGAGAGAGAGACGTGGGGAGAGAGAGAGAGACGTGGGGAGAGAGACAGAGAGAGAGATGGTGTGAGAGACAGAGAGAGAGATGGAGAGAGATGGTGTGAGAGAGACGTGGGGAGAGAGATGGTGAGAGAGACAGAGAGAGATGGTGAGAGGGAGATGGTGAGAGAGACAGAGACATGGTGAGAGAGACGTGGGGAGAGAGAGATGGTGAGAGAGATGGTGTGAGAGTAGACGTGGGGAGAGAGAGAGACGTGGGGAGAGAGATGGTGAGAGAGATGGTGTGAGAGACGTGGGGAGAGAGAGAGACGTGGGGAGAGAGATGGTGAGAGAGATGGTGTGAGAGTAGACGTGGGGAGAGAGAGAGACGTGGGGAGAGAGATGGTGAGAGAGATGGTGTGAGAGTAGACGTGGGGAGAGAGAGAGACGTGGGGAGAGAGATGGAGAGAGATGGTGTGAGAGACAGAGAGAGAGATGGTGAGAGAGAGACGTGGGGAGAGAGATGGAGAGAGATGGTGTGAGAGACAGAGAGAGAGATGGTGAGAGAGAGACGTGGGGAGAGAGATGGAGAGAGATGGTGTGAGAGACAGAGAGAGATGGTGAGAGAGACGTGGGGAGAGAGATGGTGAGAGATGGTGTGAGAGAGAGACAGAGATGGTGAGAGAGACGTGGGGAGAGAGATGGTGAGAGATGGTGTGAGAGACAGAGAGAGAGATGGTGAGAGAGACGTGGGGAGAGAGATGGTGAGAGATGGTGTGAGAGACAGAGAGAGAGATGGTGAGAGAGACGTGGGAGAGAGATGGAGAGAGATGGTGTGAGAGAGAGACAGAGATGGTGAGAGAGACGTGGGGAGAGAGATGGTGAGAGATGGTGTGAGAGACAGAGAGAGAGATGGTGAGAGAGACGTGGGGAGAGAGATGGTGAGAGGGAGATGGTGAGAGAGACAGAGAGAGAGATGGTGAGAGAGAGACGTGGGGAGAGAGATGGAGAGAGATGGTGAGAGAGACGTGGGGAGAGAGATGGTGAGAGGGAGATGGTGAGAGAGACAGAGAGAGAGATGGTGAGAGAGAGACGTGGGGAGAGAGATGGAGAGAGATGGTGAGAGAGAGAGACGTGGGGAGAGAGATGGAGAGAGATGGTGTGAGAGACAGAGAGAGAGATGGTGAGAGAGACGTGGGGAGAGAGATGGTGAGAGAGAGATGGTGTGAGAGACAGAGAGAGAGATGGTGAGAGAGACGTGGGGAGAGAGATGGTGAGGAGAGATGGTGTGAGAGACGTGGGGAGAGAGATGGTGAGAGAGACGTGGGGAGAGAGATGGTGAGAGGGAGATGGTGAGAGAGACAGAGAGAGAGATGGTGAGAGAGAGACGTGGGGAGAGAGACGGAGAGAGAGATGGTGTGAGAGAGACGTGGGGAGAGAGAGATGGGGAGAGGGAGATGGTGAGAGAGACAGAGAGAGAGATGGTGAGAGAGAGACGTGGGGAGAGAGACAGAGAGAGAGATGGTGAGAGAGAGACGTGGGGAGAGAGAGATGGGGAGAGGGAGATGGTGAGAGAGACAGAGAGAGAGATGGTGAGAGAGAGACGTGGGAGAGAGACAGAGACATGGTGAGAGAGACGTGGGGAGAGAGAGAGACGTGGGGAGAGAGATGGAGAGAGAGATGGTGTGAGAGAGACGTGGTGAGAGAGAGATGGTGAGAGGGAGATGGTGAGAGAGACAGAGAGAGAGATGGTGAGAGAGAGACGTGGGGAGAGAGATGGAGAGAGAGATGGTGTGAGAGAGACGTGGGGAGAGAGATGGTGAGAGAGACAGAGAGAGAGATGGTGTGAGAGAGACGTGGGGAGAGAGATGGTGAGAGGGAGATGGTGAGAGAGACAGAGAGAGAGATGGTGAGAGAGACGTGGGGAGAGAGATGGTGAGAGGGAGATGGTGAGAGAGACGTGGGAGAGAGATGGAGAGAGATGGTGTGAGAGACGTGGGGAGAGAGATGGTGAGAGGGAGATGGTGAGAGAGACAGAGAGAGAGAGAGACGTGGGGAGAGAGACAGAGAGAGATGGTGTGAGAGTAGACGTGGGGAGAGAGATGGTGAGAGGGAGATGGTGAGAGAGACAGAGAGAGAGATGGTGAGAGAGAGACGTGGGGAGAGAGATGGAGAGAGATGGTGTGAGAGAGACGTGGGGAGAGAGAGATGGTGAGAGGGAGATGGTGAGAGAGACAGAGAGAGAGATGGTGAGAGAGAGACGTGGGGAGAGAGATGGAGAGAGGGAGATGGTGAGAGAGACGTGGGGAGAGAGACAGAGACATGGTGAGAGAGACGTGGGGAGAGAGATGGAGAGAGGGAGATGGTGAGAGAGACGTGGGGAGAGAGATGGAGAGAGAGATGGTGTGAGAGAGACGTGGGGAGAGAGATGGTGAGAGGGAGATGGTGAGAGAGACAGAGACAGAGATGGTGAGAGAGACGTGGGGAGAGAGATGGTGAGAGATGGTGTGAGAGACAGAGAGAGAGATGGTGAGAGAGACGTGGGGAGAGAGATGGTGAGAGATGGTGTGAGAGACAGAGAGAGAGATGGTGAGAGAGACGTGGGGAGAGAGATGGAGAGAGATGGTGTGAGAGAGAGACAGAGATGGTGAGAGAGACGTGGGGAGAGAGATGGTGAGAGATGGTGTGAGAGACAGAGAGAGAGATGGTGAGAGAGACGTGGGGAGAGAGATGGTGAGAGGGAGATGGTGAGAGAGACAGAGAGAGAGATGGTGAGAGAGAGACGTGGGGAGAGAGATGGAGAGAGATGGTGAGAGAGACGTGGGGAGAGAGATGGTGAGAGGGAGATGGTGAGAGAGACAGAGAGAGAGATGGTGAGAGAGAGACGTGGGGAGAGAGATGGAGAGAGATGGTGAGAGAGAGAGACGTGGGGAGAGAGATGGAGAGAGATGGTGTGAGAGACAGAGAGAGAGATGGTGAGAGAGACGTGGGGAGAGAGATGGTGAGAGAGAGATGGTGTGAGAGACAGAGAGAGAGATGGTGAGAGAGACGTGGGGAGAGAGATGGTGAGAGAGATGGTGTGAGAGACGTGGGGAGAGAGATGGTGAGAGAGACGTGGGGAGAGAGATGGTGAGAGGGAGATGGTGAGAGAGACAGAGAGAGAGATGGTGAGAGAGAGACGTGGGGAGAGAGACGGAGAGAGAGATGGTGTGAGAGAGACGTGGGGAGAGAGAGATGGGGAGAGGGAGATGGTGAGAGAGACAGAGAGAGAGATGGTGAGAGAGAGACGTGGGGAGAGAGACAGAGAGAGAGATGGTGAGAGAGAGACGTGGGGAGAGAGAGATGGGGAGAGGGAGATGGTGAGAGAGACAGAGAGAGAGATGGTGAGAGAGAGACGTGGGGAGAGAGACAGAGACATGGTGAGAGAGACGTGGGGAGAGAGAGAGACGTGGGGAGAGAGATGGAGAGAGAGATGGTGTGAGAGAGACGTGGTGAGAGAGAGATGGTGGGAGGGAGATGGTGAGAGAGACAGAGAGAGAGATGGTGAGAGAGAGACGTGGGGAGAGAGATGGAGAGAGAGATGGTGTGAGAGAGACGTGGGGAGAGAGATGGTGAGAGAGACAGAGAGAGAGATGGTGTGAGAGAGACGTGGGGAGAGAGATGGTGAGAGGGAGATGGTGAGAGAGACAGAGAGAGAGATGGTGAGAGAGACGTGGGGAGAGAGATGGTGAGAG